TGACCCCAAAGTAACCCTGTACACAGTTCATTTCCTGCTTTTACCACACACAAACCCAGCATGAAGAACTGGGTTTTTATTTCAGTATTGGTTAGTGCTTTGAAATACTGACTCAATATCAGCTGTAAAATAATGCACAAAGTGATGACCAATGGAAAACAATGCACAGAAAACTAAAATCAGCAGAGGATGAAAACGAGCACAGGCACAGTTCTAATTGTAAACGAGTGCTGTAATAATCAGTGTAGTGCTCAAGGGGGAAGAAATGGAGTTCTCTTTAAACCCAGGTCATTAATTCCAATGTGATGGCTCAGTTTCTCACCTTTGATTTTGGCAATGACTGTCCCAGCTGCACTGAGAATATCCACAGAGTTGAGGGTCTGGTGTTTACCAATGACAGCTTTCAGGACGCGTAGCAGTTCTCCCAGCCTCTCGTGGACCACTTGATGTAAACAGTCTTGATTTTCTGTAAATGACAAAACCACAGCTGCTGAAGCTTGCTCAACCTGCTCTAGTTCAGAGCTTCCCTACGTCACGTGAGCAGATGCAGTTCTCCTTTACCAAAAGCAGCAAAACCAGCTACAAATACAGAGGCCTTGGAAGTGAACAATTTTGTAGCTCTTCTGCCGTTATCAAGAGGCAAGGAACATAAACAAGGGGTCACTCTTCCTCACAATCTTAAATACTGAACCAGATTACAAAAAAAGTATATTCAGCCATTCTACATCTACAGTAGTCAGGTAAACAGGATGCTCTAACGTACCTGTTTAAAGCCTTTTAGTGGCTTCAAATGTGTTTAAGGAATCTGTATTGCACTGGAACAAAGGTGTGCAAATATTTCCTCATTTCTGTTTGAGCTTCTTTAAACCACAGTAGTCACCTTTTTTTCAGTATGATGTATGATGTTAACATTGCATAAGAAAACAACTGTATTTTCCACGCCCTCTATCATTTCAGTCTACAGATTTTATTCACTTTATGATCATACCAAAGTTCATTACTTCGGTTGAAAGAAAATGCACAGGCACCACCTATGAAAACAGCTTCGCCAATGTAAAGTGCAGGCTGTTCTGCACTATAATCACGTAAGAGGAAAAAAAGGTGGTTAAAAACCACAGATGTTTTGCAGCTCTCAGCAAAAATC